ACATTTCCGATTTCACCAGCCGCCGACGTCCGCCATGTTCCGCAGCGCTGCCATCGCCCTCCAGCGCGCCGCCACCCTCGACGCCAAGCGCGCCTTCTCGTCCGCGCCGACGATGCATGGCACCACAATCCTCTGTGTGCGCAAGGATGGCAAAGTGGTACGTCACGAACCAAAGATCGCAGGATCGCTCACGCGACGCGTAGTGCGTCATTGGTGACGGCCAAGTCTCGCTGGGCCACACGATCGTCAAGCCCAACGCGCAAAAGGTGCGCCGCATCAACGAGAACGTCATCGCGGGCTTTGCCGGCTCGACGGCCGACGCCTTCACGCTCATTGAGCGCTTGGAGAGCAAGCTCGACGAGTACCCGGGTGCGGCCCTGCCCTTGCAGGATCGACGTATGTGCTTGCACTAATCACGTTGTCCAGGCCAGCTCACACGCGCGTGCGTCGAATTGGCCAAGGCGTGGCGGACCGACAAGTACCTCCGCGCCCTCGAAGTACACTCCAGCCGGCTGCAGGATTGTTGCCAACTCTGTTGTAGGCGCTGCTCATCGTCACGGACAACAAGCAGTCGTTCACATTGACGGGCAACGGCGATGTGCTCCAGCCCCACGACGGCATCATCGGCATCGGGTCGGGTGGCACGTACGCTCTTGCGGCCGCGCGTGCGCTCATCGACCAGCCGCACCTGTCGGCCGAAGACGTCGCCCGTCGCTCGATGAAGATCGCCGCCGACATTTGCGTCTACACCAACCACAACGTCGTCGTTGAGGTCTTGGACGAGAACCCGGTCGACGAAGCGACCAAGTAAGCACAGAACCCTCGAATCTACAAGGGTGTTGGTATTGGATTGTGTTTTAAGTATGAAGATACACAGTGGCTTAGATGGTGTTGGCCATGACGAGGTTGTACTGCGCGAGGTTGCGCTTGAGAATGTTCTCGAGCGGCCCCATGACGCGCTTGAACGTTTTCCGGTCCAGCGTCAAGCACTTGACTTGGCCCTTGGCCGTCACGGTCGCCTGCCGCGGACGCGTCGTGAGCAGTGCGATCTCGCCAAAGTACGCGCCCGTCGAGAGAAGCCCAATCTCTTGGACCGGGTCCGACGGCGACACTTGCTTGGTGCACACGGCCGTGCCTTCCGAGATAATATAAAAGAGGTTGCCGTCGTCGCCTTGGCGGATGATGATCTCGCCGTCGTTGAACGTGGCGACACGGAGCGCGTCCGCGACCGTGAGTCGCTCGTACTCGCTGAGGGACTCGAGAAGCGGCACCTTCTCGATGAAGCCCTTGTACTGGTCTCGCTTCTTCATCGTCGTCTCCATGATAATGTACTGGCATACGAGAATGAGATACAGGCATGGTCGCTGGCGATGTACCTTAAAGGTTTGCCGGTCGAGCGCCCACACTTTCGCGTTCTCCTTGACCTTGACCGTCGCGGCGCGCGGCGCATTGTACATTAGCGCGAGTTCGCCAAACGACATGGCTTCCGTGCACGTGAGGACGAGGTTGTCGTCCTTGTAGACTTCGCAAACGCCCGTGTCAAGAATGTAAAAGTTGTCGCCATCGTCGCCCTGCTTGATGATGACGTCGCCCACGGCGAACTCCTTGGGGAACATAGCGTCGAGGAGAATCTGGTCGTGAGGATAAGCGGCGTCGCGACCCAATACCTCGCGTAATACCTTGGATTGCTTCTCGTCGAGGGACTTGAAGAGGATGTTGTCCACGAGGATATCGGAGATGCGCTTCCTCTCTTCTTCCGATTTGGGATGCACGACGGCGTCCAACGGCTTGGCGCTACGACCATGCCACCTTAGCCAAGACAAGCTGGCATTGATCGTACTTGTCAGGGTCGAGCGCTTCGGCCGACACGGATATTCTGCGGCCTTTCGGGAACGTCCGCGCCGCCGGCTGCGCTTCCTGCATCTCGCCGACCGCATCTTCTTCGCCTTCGTCTTCGCTTTCCGACTCATCCGAATGGTCTACATGCCATGAGTCACTCGAGCCATGCTACGCCTTACGTACGGCCGGTCGCGATCGCGGGCGCTTCAGCCGCACGCACCGTGGCCTGCTCTGGGAAGTTGGTCTGGAGGTACTGGATGATGTGCAGCACGGGGTTGTCGGGCTTGGAGAGCAGGAGCGACTCGACAATGTTGATGAAGAGCGTGTTGATACCCTTCTTCTGCAGGTAGTCCTGCAGCTCCTGCTGCACGCCCTCCGCGTCCGCCATGGGCTCAGCGACAAGGAAAATGGCTTTCGCTCGTCCTTTGTATGGGCGACGGTTTAGGGCGACCTTTCAACGCGCGCGATGCCATTGGTCAAAATCCTCAAAATTCCATCTGGACCGACTTTTGGCCAATCACAAAAAACGTTCTTTTTCGATATTTTATTTTGTACCTTTATCCGGCGCCCACCAGCGAAAGATCTTCTTTGTCGAAACAACGCCGCCTCGCTATCCGGACGACCGCTTCAACCGAAGCGCACAGCGCGCCCGCTGCAATGCACAAGCCGCCACGAGCTTCTGACGACGACGACTGGCTGGACCATCGTTGGTTCCAGGCAAATCCGGTCTTGCGATGGATGGCGGCCCTGGACACTGTGGTGGATGACGGTCTTAATATATAGCGATGGTCAGGCAACCGGCCAGCGCACCGGCCTCGCCCGAAACGTTGCTGGCAAGCGGGTCTGTGGAAGAAGACGATTTGTTGCGTCGCAGCTAGCCAAGGGAATAAAACATTGCTTTATTCCCATGTTGCCAGCGTGCTCCGATACTTGCGTACACGTAGCAATGGATGGCGACTTCCGTGCTCGTGATCCGGTGTCGAGTCCACGGCAGAGGTTCAGACGGCGACTACTGCCCCTTGAACCGCTTCGGTGTATGTACGCTTGTTGCGATCTTCGCGAAATGCCGGATACGTCACACTTATCCGGACGACGACATCTCGTTTGCAACGTGGCAACCAAGATTTCGCCATGCAGCAGGAGCTCGAGGCGGCGCACGATGGGCTCTTCCTCGCCGCAGAGCATGGCCGCGCCGACGTCCTCAAGGCGCTCCTCGACCACGGCAAGGACGTGTTGAAGCTCGACGCAATTCGCAACGCCGAGGGCCTCACGCCGCTGCACGTCGCCGTCGTGCACCAAAAGACCGACGCGGTCCGCGCGCTTCTCTCGGCCGGCTTTGCCGCCGATGCTGTGGTCATACCTAGCAAGAAGCCGTCCAAGT